ATGGTTTCATTGGTAGGGAGAACCTCAGTTTCTTCTTCAAGATGAGCTTGTTCCTGCTGTTTTTGCAAATATTGCATCGCCTGCTTTTCTTCACGGCCTTAAAATTCTTTCCGATATCAAACAAACTCCGCAATGATCCATGAAATGTGTTCCTTTTTTCGACGTCTTTCTTAGCCATTCTAAGTTTGCATTTTAATAAGGCTTTCCAGGTATTGAAAAATAGCAACAGTTTTTTCTTTATGCTTATGTCATTTACCAAATGTGTTAAGTTTTTTTTTTCTTCCAAGCATCCTTTAATTCCTTTATTGTTAGGAAGGCACTAAGCTTACCTCTTTTTTTTCAGCACGCAAATGAAACATATATTTACGAAAAACTTCACTATACGTCGGCAAGTTAACAGAATGGCCGAACGACGGCAGATATTCTCCAACCAGCCAAATGTCAACCATTTTTAACAAACTGTCGTACTATACTCTATCAGTTCTCTGCTTGTTGTCTTCTTCAAACGCACTACTGATTGATCATACATCCTTTTGACTTTGAATGATCTATATTTCTTGTATTTGTTTGGTTTACATGTATGAATTTTCAAGTGACACAGATGCGTCTTTTCAACTTTAGTTATTTTGAAATTTTTAATTATTATTTACTGTTCCTAGTCCTATCAGGCCTTAAAGTATGACCACCTAAGTGGGATTGGTTTGTTTTGAATTGGAAAAAAGAGACTACTTAAAACTACTATTTACAGCTACAACTAATCTACAACTACTATATACACCTAACCTACTATATACAAATTGCTTATCAAAGCATGTTCTGATGTATTGCATTTCTGCACAAATTTGTTCCTAGTTTCGTTAATTTGAAAATCTACTTTCGGGATGTTAGCCTCTTGATGGAGGTCGGAAATTCGGGTATCGAAAGGACGATCTAGGATCATCCTTAATACCCTGTTCTGCGCTACCTGTATTTTGTTCCTGTGAGTTTGTGCACATGATTCCCACACTGGAGCTGCGTAGAAGATCGCAGGCACAATGATTTGTTTGTAGACAGCCAGTTTGTTCACCCTAGAGAGACGAGATCTGCGGCAAATAAGCGGATACAAGCACCTAACTAGATTGGAACACTTAACTACTGCCCTATCTATGTGCGAGCGGAAAAGGAGCATTTCGTCAAATAACATACATATTACTTCGGTGGACCACTCAACCCTTGTGCCATCCATTATTACAGTACAAGAGGGAGCCGGTTTTAGTTTGAGAGATTGTCGATGGAGGAACATTATTGATTGGGTTTTGGAGGCATTGATTTTGATTTTCCACGTGTTGGCATAAAAAGCAAAGGCGTCAAGGCATCGTTGAAGTTTGTTTGTTATTTCACGAGGCCTCCTTCCCTTGACGGTTATAGCGGTATCATCTGCGAACAGGAAGAACACGCAACCGTTGCCCAAGGGAGGAATGTCGGAAGTGTAGATGCTGTATAGCAAAGGGCCCAACAGGAAGCCAGATAAACAATATTCTTCATGCGGGTACTTTTTTGGCACCTCTATAGGGTAGGAATTTAAAAGAAACACATATAAAGGGTTGTCCCGTATTAGGTGGATATGTTAAAAAGTCATTGTACTTTCGTCAGATTGTACTGTAAACTAAACAGCACTAATGGTTGTCCTGTACAATTTTCGGAATTATTCTACGATTTATGGCTGTCTATGCTTCTATTTTACGTGGTCTCAGATACTAAAAAGTAATATCATCAAATGTTTTGAAGTTTGGATTCTTAAAAATTCCAAAACACAATATGATGATATTTTCAGATACATGCGTTTGGTAAAAAGTAATGGTTTTTACATAGCTATTTTGATTTTTGGACCACCCTAATCAAGAATAATTGGACCACCCTAGTGAATTATTTCGTATTAGATCCTAAATGGTCGTTTAATTCGATATATAAGCAGGTTGGAGACAATTGTGAACAGTTTTAGAAGCCGACTCATCAATCTTCTATATTCCATATAGAACTCATGAAAGTCCCAGAAAGTCGATTTAAAAAAAAAATGTTCGAGATAACACCAAATCTCGACGTTTCATGCATTTTTAAGACATTTGGCATAAAAAAATGTTTTGATTTCCGTAATTTCATGTACCCCCACCCCCACCCCCTTGGGAGATTTTCGAGAGTGAACAAAGTCAAACTTTGACGCTTTTGCGCCACCCCTAAATCATGTTCGATTGAGCTCAAATTTTGCATAGGGTCATTTTTCGAGGCAATAAACATTTTGTGTATGGGTTGTTAGCGAAATTTGATGGTCAAATTTTTCCCATACATTCATTGGCAGTTAGGATGCATATTGCGTGCTCTCAACTAAGTGGTCTAGATGCACTTCAACAGTTATTAATTGAGGGCTTTCGATGCCTGTAGCATTTTTGCATAAGTATAATTGCCCAGAGAAGTCGAGAAATTTTGCAACCCGAAAAATTCCTGGCCCGATCGAGATTCGAACCCAGCCACCTGCGCCTTTACCGACTGAGCTAAGGTAGGTCCGAAATGATGCACTCCAACTTTTCACTTAATCAAAACCCGCTGCCTGAAGTGCATTCTTCGTTTCTTTGATAACTGCTGAAAGCTCGTCATTTTCGTCGACATCCAAAAATTCGCGCACATACACCAACAACAGCCAACAGCGACGGCGGCTAAAGTTCTCCAACGTCGTCAGTGACCGCCACCGCCCTTCGAGCTAACGGTCAGGAATTCACTTTCGGCATGCTTACGGTCAGCTTCGGATTGGAGTTTGGAAAGTTGAATAGAGGAGACAATAGAATGGAATGCTGCCGGAAAGTGTGTGTTCAACGTGGGAGTATTCGATTTAGGAAAATTGCTGCAGAATAAAAGGACGGAAGGCATGTTGCTAGCTTTTGGATCGCTATCTGGCGTCGCAGCTCGAAACGGAGGCAATAACAACGATGAACTATGGGTCTGGTTTAGTGCGGTGGAATTTTTATTTGGCACGACATTGTTTCCGAAACTTTCCTTCGGCACGTCATTTCGTCATTTGTTGCGCTTCCAATACAAGCAAGTGTTGTTTGTCCGCAGTAAACTAGGAATATGGGGCAGAGGTTGGTTGAGGGGGTTTTGGTGACTACAAGGTTTACATTTTAGCGCTGAAAATTGGTCGATTGACACAATCAGCTTCGATTACTGCGAATGGGGGGGGGGATGAAATTTTAATCGGAAACTGTTTGCGCTAATGAATTGTTGGTGAAACTTTTCGGTGGAGGGTCTCGGGAATGTCGATTGTTCAGTGTGGTGCGATACAATTTCAGTCGGGATGATTAATTTATCTCAGTAAACAGATTACAAAGCTAGTGGCTAATTGATCGAATTGTCAGTTTGATGTTGATTCACCTGAATTTAGTATGCAAATTCGTTTGACAGTAACACCCGATTTAGACGAACGTTCAAATTTTCATGATCGCTTTCAAGTCTCCCGAAGTGGCTCGATTCAATCAACTTCGTTCCATCATAACCCATCAAAGCCATCGCAAAACAAAAGCTCATCAACAAAGTTCAGAATGGCAATAAGCTGCTGCCTACTCTTTAGCACCGGGAAGTGTTGATTGTAAAACAATCAAGTCAAAGTCAGTAGCAACGATCCAGCTCCTTCCCATTATTTGCACACCAAACTACGCTCGTCTCATGGACGCAGTTTCCAATTACGGTGTCATTTTCAGGATCCAATATACAAACACATTAAACTATACACATAGTTACGCGCCGTAATACGAAATTGATTGGAAATATCATTTTATTGGAACAACATTATGCCCTGCCCTGCTCCTCGACGTTTTTCCCAATATAATATCGCTAAAACCATCATCGTCGTCGTCGTCGTCGTCGTTTGGGGTGTGTGGGAATGTGTGTGCTTGAGTGGCACTCTTTCCTCCAGCAGTAAGCAGCAATGTCTCAAGTCGTCCCGTCGCCTGCTGGCATGGGACGGCACTTGAACGCGTAGTCAAGTTATTACACCCACATCCTCCTTCGATCCCACTTATTGCAATATGTGTGTGCGTCCGCCGCCGTCGTCGTGGTCGTGAAGAAGAAGTTGTGCCACATATTTCCATGGTTCGAGACTTCTATGACATTGAACCGACACGACACGCGGGCGTCTTCACTTGCTCCCAGCTGTTGATGGCGATCCACGATCCCATGCAGGCGGCCGGCTGGGGGTGAGGGGGAAAATTATGAACCGTTATGGTAGTTTTATGACGCGAGTTCCAGCACGCGGACGGGCAAAAGTTGATGACTTTGTTCGTTCCCTAATGTAATGTACGAGGAACGCGAAAGTGAGCACAGTACAGTTCAACCCAGCAGGTTGCGGTTAATGCTCAGTAATGAAACCGCGACGGAACATCAAACGCAAGGATTTTCGGGAAATTTTAGCAATCTTCCTGGGAATATTCCAACCACGATAAACTTTGTGGAAAACCACAGTCAATTTGTGATTAGCAAAGTTCTACTGTAGCATCCCTTTCTCTGCTAGACGCAGAGGAATATTTTCCATCACATTTAATGTACCCCTTCGGTATCGGAACGTAACGTTCAACTCGTAAAATACACGACAGTGCTCGCCTTCTCTCTATCTGTTGCAGACATTCAGGCAAGTCATAGAGCGAAAAGTCCTGAAAGCGAATACATAAAATGTCACATGTCACATTCCATCCCGCGAAGACTGCGCACGATGACATCCTATTTCATAAATTCGTCCCTTCTCCCTCCCCTTCAGCCAATAAAATAACTAATTCTATTCCAGTAAAATAATTTTACCATCGATTATATGGCTGTGCAGCAACTTTTACTATCCCTTTCTCTGAGATCCAATACCGCATGTGGGACTTGGTTTATGACGATGTCGACGACGCGTATCAAACTTAATCAAACTCGCCCAAAGTTTACGATCCTGCTTCGGAAAATCTTTTCACTTGATTTAATTTTCTCCCGCACAGGTTCGACAATCCGGCCTCGGTTTCCGTCACGCCAACCCGGCAGCTGTCCTACAACTATCTGGTATCGGTCAACCTGTGGTTGCTGCTGTTCCCGTGTGATCTCTGCTGTGACTGGACCATGGGCACTGTTCCGCTGGTGGAGAGCTTTTCCGATCCGCGAAACCTGACCACCCTGGGGGCGTACAGTCTCATCGGGGTGCTGGTGTGGATGGCATTCCTACAGGGCGATCGGCACCGGTCCGGGGTGATTGTGATGGTGAGTAGAGATTCTTATCAAATATTATGCGAAATGACGTTCAAGAAGATTAACCATATTCTCCAGAAGCTCCGGAAAATGAACCCGATGTGTTTTTTTTTTTTGCAAAATAACGAATCTCGGATTCCATTTATGTGTTTCCTAATGTTGGATGAGTTACTTCTTCTGCATTAAATTAACCTGTTTTTTTTCCTAGAACCGTTCAATCCGAAGTGCTATTAAAAAATTCGCCATGGTGCATTTAAAAGTTTTCAGGGACGAATGTGAAAGGAGAAATCGACTTGCTGAAATGGCTTGTCTACCGATTCGACAGAAACTGCAAAACAAGAAAATAATTAACTAAAAAAAAAAATTATTAACAAACCCTTCACAATGTGCTGAGCTCAATCAAACCATTAAAAAGCAAACTGAAGATACCCAAAATAATATCATCAAAAAATAATAAAAAGTGTGATTTAGGTGTGATGCTCGAAGAGTCAAAAGAGCAACCTGCATCGTGTGCTCAGTAGCCTGATGCAAAATTTGAAATAACGCTCCACAGTGCTAAAACGGTTCGACATCGGGTCCTGATTAGTATGGGTGACCAGTGAACCGGGAAATGGTAAACACCGGAAAAAGGGGTAAGAGGTGGGAACCATCATCATCATCATCATATAGGAGTCATTTTGAAAAACTATTAAGAGAATTTTAGACTTTTTTACGGAGCAATTATGAGCAGATGTTACAATAAATTCTGCAGATAACACCAAGGTTTTTCTGAGCAAATGTCCTAGGTAGTTCTGGAATGAGAGTTTTGACTAAAACTGTTAGCCAATTGTGAGATTTCAAAGTATTATATTTTAGCAGCTCTATGAAAAATTTCATGGTGATTATGAAGAGTATTCATGGATCGGTAAAAATATATAGTGGTGAATTTCGAGGGTACAATTCTAATAGAATTGTGCGAAGAGTTTTAATGAAATTAAGAAGATACTTTCAAAGGCATATCGAAAAGAATTTCTTGATAATGTTAAGAAGAATGCCAAGCGAATTTTCGGAATAATTTAGAGAACTTCAAGATAATTCTGAGCAACTTTTCGGAAGGGAATTGCATGGAAATCATTAGAAGAACTCAAGCAAGATTAAAATTGTAAGGGAGCTTCAGTTATTTCTTGGAAAAAGTTTAAAGTTCCTTATTAGAGAGTTGTATGGATTTGTTTCCTTCACTTTGCTTAAATCTTTGGTTATTATTAGTTAGGTAGGTTCCGATTCTGCACGATGTAGTTTCATTTTTATACCCGTGATCTTGACATTTTTACCTATAGGAGGAGTACTTAAGGGGGTTAGATTTTGATAAGTCTTTAGTGGGAATGACACTGATGAAGACTGCACATTGTAGTCCAAATACGTATGGATACCAAAATTAATTAAGTGGCATTAAATGGACGGTGTCCTTTTTGCTGTTTTAGTTTAAAATCCGTTTAGTATTTAATTAATTTAATTTTTTTTAATTTTCTGCCGAGAATTGTAGGGCTGTTTTAAAGAAATTTTCAAGGTTCTCCCATAGAGAATCTCAAATTTATTTTAGAATAATTCTGAAATGAACTCTGAACGGAAATTATTGGAAAGGGAATCATTAAGAAGAATCAAATAAAATCCAAACCAAGTATTTTTCGGGTGCTTTGACAATTTTTTCTGCTTAAAATTATCTTGCAAACACACCATTTTTCGGTAACCGTGTAAACTCTTAACCTGCGAGCTGCTTGAAAGCCGCCTTGAGTTATATATCATCGTTCATTATAACACAATGAAATTTCTGACGCAATAAATCTGCCTGGGATTAATTTGGATTTCGCTTATTAACAAGCAACATTTTGATACACTGTTACTCTTGCTTCGACACCATTTTTACAACTGTATGAAAAGTGGCAAAAACAAAATAGAGGCACAATTACATACGCACAGACCTACAAAATGAAGGTTGTTCAAATTTTTAAAATGCACGATTGAAAAAGATTCGCCAAATTTTAGTCGACCAATTTTTGACCGTTCCACCCTTTACTTGCGAAATAATAAATGCCATCTGTTTGCTGGAATATCCATTCCTTGAAATGTATCCACTCTCACTATAATAGTTAAATATATTTCAAGGATAGTTTCTACGGTTCCGAACCCACGAATAATTTTTGTTCACTAAGAAATTTGAAATGTCTACGCTTAATTTCAGATTTCTTCAAAATGACGATATGTCTTCAAATCTAACACTGGTATCTGTTTAATTTTGCAATTCTCAAAACATGTAAAATTTGCTAGATTTCTTATAATTTACATGGCCTTGTATAAATGACACGTCCTCATAGTGCAGTGGAATTTACGGCGTAACTCCCGAAATTTCTGGAGCTTCGTCAACAGCAAAAGGAAAGATTCGAGTATACCATGCTACTCGATGGGAAAGAGTCGACTTCTCCTAGTGAAGCGTGTGAGATGTTTGCAAAACACTTTGCATCTATATTCGATAAAAATATGACAAGTGACGTTGAAGCTGAATCTGCTGCCTGAAAACATCGCTCTCTCCGGGTTCAGATGCACATCCGGCAGGTGTGTTCTGCCGTTGCTCAGCAGAACCTTTAGCAGCACTAGCGTGCACAGGAATCTTGTTAAGGAGGGGCAATTTTTATTCTTTGGTGCATTTAACCTGGGGATTGGGAGTACTCCAAAGTACGTCGTAGATGGTTTATTTATTTTTTACTCCGGTGGTGGTTCATCTTCTTCAATGCAAACTACTTGCAGGCAGCCAATGGAAATTGGCAATTTAATCCCATCGACGATGTTGATGATGATCGGTTCGTCAAATGGTTGCGATAGTAGGGCTTTATCCTAAATTATACATTTGCTGCGATGTTGTTGCCTTGGTGGTTGAATTCAGCTGAAGTCACGTCAGATGGTGGTGACAGCATCGACAAACCGAGATGAATGACCAATAAGAATCGCATTCTCCTTTCGCATGCGGCATGCACACTGCGTCGACAAGTACAAGGTTCAAACAGTGCGCATAGCAGTGAACAAACAGTATATTGCTCTTGATCAATCCAATCTTGATCAGTGATATTGAGTGCTTGGCACTGATGAAGTCTGCAAGTAGTAGACGAAATACGCGTATCTGTCAAAAGATAAGCAATTATAACGGAATTAAAAGGAAATAAACCAACACACTCAAAGCTGTTCATTCAAATTTTCAGAGAAGATTCTTAGACGATTTTTTAGTAAGACAAAAATCGACCAATGTGCAATGGCAAACTAATACCCACTTTTCAATAAGGGAATCCAAAAGCTTTTTTTTAGAACTCTATGAGCTCTTTTGAAATTCTTCTCAGAAGTCCTCTAGAATTATTTTCAGAACTCTCCTTGACTTTTACACAGAACACCTTGGAACTGAAATTCCCTTAGAGTTTCAGAAGAACTTCCCCAGTACTATCCAGAAATTGTTCCCGGAATGAGCTAGAAATTATCGGTACTCCTTTGAAATTTTCCTCAAAATCCCTTTGGAATTTCACTCAAAATTTAATTTTCTCGGTATTCTTTTCAGAATTATCCTGGAACTATAACAGGATTCACTCGAAATTATTCGCAGAATTTTCTTGGAATACTCCCCAGAAATTCTTTGGGACTGTCCTCAGATTTCAATATCCTTGAGGATCTTCTCGGATTTTTTTAGAACCCTCCTAAGAGCTCTTTTGGAATTCTTCTCAGAAGTCCACTGGAATTATATTTAGAACTCTTTATGATTTTTCTCAGAACACCTTGGAATTGAATGCGCTAGAAATTTTCCTCGGAATTCACTTGAAATTTTGCTTAAAATCCCTTTGGAATTTCACTCAAAATTTGATTTTCTCCGTATTCTTTTCGAAATTATCTTGGAATTATCTGCAGGATGTACTAGAAATTATCCGCAGAATTTTCTTTGAATTCTCTCCAGATATATTTTGGAACTGTCCTAGGAATTCAATATCATTGAGGTTCTTCTCGGAATATTTTTTTTTTTCTCAGAACACCTTGGAACTGAAATTCCCCTAAAGTTGCAGAAGAATTTCCTCTGTATTCTCCAGAAATTCTTCCCAAAATGAGCTTGAAATTATCCTCGAAATTTCCTTGAAATTTTTCCCAACATCCTTTTGGAATTTCATTCAAAATTTGATTCCCTCTGTATTCTCTTCGAAATTATCTTGGAACTATCTGCAGGATTCACTAGAAACTATTCGCAGAATTTTCATGGAATCATCCCCAGAAATCATTTCTTTTGGAACTTGTCTTCAGAATTCAATACCCTTGAGGTTCTTCTCGGAAGTTAAGTTTAAGTTGTCCGTCCATTCACCAAAACGTTGTAGTATTTCTACCAGACATGTTCAATAAAGCTTGCCCCTCCATTCACCAGAACTGTGCAATTTTCACATCAGGAATTTTAAATTCAGCTAGCGCCTCCATGCAGCAGATTGTTGCAAATCTTGCACCAGACATTTTCAATACAACTTGTCCCAGAAAATTTTACACCAGAAAATTTCAATTGACCAGAACGTTGAAATTTTTCTACAGTTAATGTTCAATAAAAATTGTTCTCCAATCTCTTCTGATTGGTGCAGATATTCTTTTTCCATTTTCCACCATACTTTTTCAATATAGCCTGCTTCTCCTTTCATCAGAATGTTGCAGGTTTTCCACCAAATAAAGCTTGCCCCTATTTTAAGATTTTTCAGCATAAACTTTCAGTAACGCAGCTTCCCTCCAATCATCAGAATGGTGCAAATTTTACATCAGAAATTATTATTAAAGTTTGTTCGTCTATTGTGCAAAAGGATGCAAATTTGAGACCAAATATTTTCCGAAAAGCTTGCCCATCCGTTCACCAGAACGGTGCAGATTTTCCTCCAGAAGTTTTCAATATATCTTAATTTAAATAAAGCTTGTGCCTTCATTTACCAAACCAGTGCAAGTTTTCCACCAGAAATTTTCTGTTCATTTCATTT